GCACAACGATCGGTGGAAAGCATGTTGTTCGAGGAAAGGTAGTGAAATGTTGTAGTTTAAAATTACCCAAGCAAGATTATAAAAGTTTGAATGTTTTAGGTTATGCACTCGATGAGTGTAACAAGTCCCTGCCTAACGCCATGGAAAATAATCAATGATATTGAAATCTTAAGCGCTCACTGTGATTGTGTTGCGGGCGTAGGAGAAGTATGTTCTCATGTTGGAGCTATTTTGTACCACCTCACCAGTCTGCATCACTAAGAACATGTGAATCAGCGTACTTAGCCGGAACCAGTGGGGCGGACCTAATAAATCGATTTCAGAAAACCTACAGCAGCCAATTCGAGATATTAATTATGGTAACAAGTTGTGCAGCTTCGATAATGCTTTTGGAAACGTGCGTCGTTTAGGGATTGATGAACTTAGAGATGTTTTAAGTGATCTTTCAAATGAAGGAATACAGTGTGCTGCTATGCAGGAATTATGTTGTGTGAATAGACTATGCTTCCGATGCGTAGCATCACAGATAGATTATTGTTATTTTAAAGAAGGTATCATCTTGGATAGACTGTATGACACATCTTTGGAGAACAAGTCTATTGAGCAACTAAGGTTCATGGCTTTGCAGTTCCATTCTAAAATGAAATTGAGTATGGATGATATTATTCGCAATAAAATCGAAAATGAAACTCGGGACCAATGGAAAAGTGATTTATGGAAAAGAATCCGTATCGGCAGAATAACTGCTTCAATCGTAAAAAGCGTATGATCGACGAATTTGAATAAACCGTCAATGTCGATAGTAAAGAAAATTTGTTACCCAGACCTAACGTATTTCTCAACACAAGCCACACGACACGGAAAAAAAATGAAAAAGATTGCATTTAATCAACTAGCTAATAACCTAAAACGAATTCATGAAAGTCCTTCACTGACAGGATCAGGACTTATAATCGATGAAACCAACCCTGAACTAGCTGCCTCTCCAGATGGCATACTTCATTGCACATGCTGCTACCGAGTTCCACTTGAAATTAAGTGACCTTTTCGTTTCAAGAATGAAAGTGATATTATTGCAAAACTGACAAAAGTTACCTACCATACCTAAAAAAAATCACATGACATGATTAAAACACATCCATATTTAATGTTGCCATACATCAACAGGCTGGCTGTAGCCCAAATGATGTTAATAATACTAATCATAAAAATAATAATAGTAAAATTACATGTCAATAATCACAGAAAGAAAAACAAAGCAACATGGTCAGAATGTAAAAAAAACATAAATGGAAATACACTAATTTTCTCTGTCAGTCACTGCGGCCGGCGAAAACAGATGAGAATCTCCGACAAAGCGCATCACGTGTGAGGTGAAAGTCGAATACAGATGCGACTCTATTGAACACACGCTGTAGTCCGCAAATCGCACCATATGCCCCGTAGCTCGTGCGACGCAGTGGCAGTCTCAGCATGAGGTTGTTACGGAGTGGTCGGGGTTGCACGTTTAGGTCAATTTACCTTAGGATAGCCTCACAATCTATTCGTCCCTGTAGAGTGTCGGCGATAATCAAAGCTCTGTTGGTGTCCCTTCTAATCCGGAGAGGTTCAAGGTTTATCAGTTGGCAGCGACTCTCGTAGCTGGGCAGCCGAAGCGGATCTCTCCAGGGCAGTCTACGAAGCGCAAAACGAAGAAAGCGACGTTGAACAGATTCGATTTCTCGGCACCATTGTTGTAATTCGGATTCCAAACCGCAGAACAATACTCAAGCGTCGATCGTACGAGGGAGCAGTAAAGAGATTTTAAGCAGTAGACATCGGTGAAATTCTTAGCTATCCTGAAGATGAATCCTAAAGTCCTAGACGACTTATTGATGACATAAGAAATGTGTTGCCTGAATGTTAGCAGTGAATCCAACACCACACCCAGGTCTTTCACCTGATTCACGCGTTCGAGTGTCGTTCCAAGCAGGTCATAGCTGAATACAATCGGTTGCTTTTTTCGTGAGAACGTTATGGCAGAGCACTTTGCTGGGTTCACTACCATTCGATTTAAAGTACACCAACTGGCAAAGACATTAAGCTGATGTTGAAGGTTGTGGCAGTCAGCGATCGAGCAAATTCGTAAAAATATTTTGAGGTCGTCTGCATATGCTAATCGAGGTCCTTCGATAACCAGGTTCACGTCGTTGAAGTAGAGTAGAAAAATCAACGGTCCCAGATGGCTTCCCTGCGGTATACCTGATGTGGCAAAGAAGCCAGCTGATTTGCAATCTCCTATAGCAACCATAAGTTGGCGACCAGTTGGTACGAACGGAACCAACTCAAGAGATTACCGCTCACCCCAAGCCTGTCAAGTTTAGCAATCGAAATGTCATGATTCAACTTATCGAATGCCGCGGATAGATCGGTATATATAACGTCCGTCTGTACCCGTTCAGTCATACTATCGGTAATGTAGGATGTGAGGCATAGCAGATTGGTGGTTGTAGAGCGACCGCCAGTAAACCCGTGTTGATCAGCACTCAGATACTGCTTGCTGTGAGAGAGCAACGGTTCCATAATAACAAACTCGAATAGTTTCGAAACAGCACTCAGCGAAGTAACTCCACGATAGTTATCCACGGCTCGTTTGCTTCCCTTTTTGTGGACAGGAAACATGTGTGCACATTTCCAGAAGGATGGAAATATACCACTGGAGAGAGACATCCGGAATAGACGGTGAAGTGGAGTTAACAAGCAAGCAATATGTTTCTTCAAAAACACGGACGGAACTCCATCGGGTCCAGGGTTGAAGGACGATTTGAGCTGCGTTGCAGCGTTAGAAATCATCTCAACGTTGACATCAATTGCACTCAGCGTTTGACCATTTAGTGGGATGTTCCTGGCTGCGAGGGAAACATGGTCGTCACTTAGTCTCTCATCAGTGAACACACTGGCAAAATTGACAGAAAAAAGGCGGCAAATATCCTGCGGAGTGGAAGCAACTTCACTGTTCAATTCCATTGACGATGGGAGGCCAGATTCTCTGCGTTGCTCGTTCACGTAGTTCAAGAAGGATTTCGGGTGAAGTTTAAGGTTACGCTGAATACCTCGTTGAAATCGCAGAAAGCATCGACGACTGGCTCGCTGATACTCGTGATTAAGCCACACGTAGTGATGCTTCAGCGGAAGCGTGCGATACTTCGTAAATCTTCTCAATGCTGCTCTCTTGGTCGACTTCAACCTACGCAGCTCAATCGTCTGCCAGGGAGGGTGAGAGTCTTTGCGTTGAATTCTTTTCGGGACGTGTCTGTCAATGACATATGCCAAGACATGAGAAAAAGTTTGCGCAGCGGCCTCAACGTCGTCATGATCGAGAATGTTCTCCCAGTCCATGTTTGACAACACATCTACAATACTTCTTTCGAAAGTCATAAGAAACCGCAGCAGGAAGACTATCGAAATCACGAACGAGATTGTCCTCAACAGTGACAATCAGAGGAGGGTGGTGCGGAACAAGCTTAACTAGTGGACAAGGTGCTGTGGAAATGAACGGAGCATTGTCCTGAGTGCTCACGAAGCAGAGGTCCAAACTACGGTTGTTCTCGTTGACTACGTAGTTAATTTGAGAAAGCGCTGCTACGCTATAGTTATCGAGAAGGCCGATAGCTCCTGCATGAAATACAGAACGTTCTGGATCTGGATAGAGGAAGCCGCTATGGGATGGTCTCCACGAAACGCCTGCTAGGTTAAAGTCCCCAAAAAAGAATAGCTCATCAATTGGAGTCGCTCTTTCCATTACTGTGAAGACTGATTGACAGTGAGTCTCGATGAGTTCAAGATCACGAACTCGATCTGGTGGCATGTACAATGCGCACAAAAATAATGTGCGATCGCCCAGTTTAATGGCTGTCCAAACCTGTTCCACACTGTTCCACGATTCATTTTCGATTGCTCTCGCCTCCAATCCGGAACGGACAGCCACAAGAACGCCACCACCAGTAGATTTTCGGCTGTTGTTTGGATTCCGATCGCAACGAAAAACCTCATAATCGGATCCGAAAACCTGGCTGGAAAGCGTTCGCGAATCGAGCCACGTCTCGCATAGGACAATCACATCATAGCAACGATCCGATACAGCAAGCCGGTAGTCGTCAACATCAGAATTCATTCCGCCGGCGTTTTGGAAGAAAATCACGATGTCCTGCTTGCGGCTTACAATCGAACGTCTGTTCTCCCTAGAAATCACGGAACCATCAGGCAGCGAAAGAACATTAACAATACCATGCGGATACTCGCCATAGTGACTGGGTTGGAAGACCCCCTCCACATCCGACTACAGGTCCGGAACGACTATGGTGAGCGGCGGCAGCAAATGGCTGGACTGAGACGGAGGGATCAGGGGCTCCCACGAGGCTTTCTACGGCGCGTTCCGGGCACCGAGGTACAAGAGTTGATTCGGCGGCATTCAAGGTGCTGAAATTTGGATCGGCATCAGACATCATATTTGCGCTATTAATTATGTACTCGTCTGTTCTAGCAAGTTGGAAGACCCCCAATCCACATCTAAAATCAGGGCCAGGACGACTATGATGAACGCTGACAGGAATTAGCACGACTGAGTTAGAGGAACCAGGGGCTTCCATAAAGCTTTCCACGATGCGTCCCGGTTGCAAAGCAGATTGGTTCATCCAGAGTTCAGAAGACATCGAGCTTACTACGTCGTTTTCAGAAGGCGAGGTTGGATCGGATGGTTGCGTTAAGTATTCGCTGCTGGAAACGGAAGGTGGCTCAGAAAAAGAAGGTTTTGGAACGTATCGATACTTGCCTGTAAGTACAGGCTGGAAGACCTCGTCACCGATTCCAAAACCAGGGCCAGGACGACTTCTGATGATTAGATCTACAAACAGCTCGACTAGTTCGGAGGGATCAGAGGCTTCCGAAGCGCTGTATTGTTGCGTCCCAGATCCGTCCAACAGCACGTTAGTAATTGAAAAGGAAGTATCCTGGAACTGGTGTCACTGTGCTGGACCAATACGGGTGATTTTGGTCACCTTCTTTGACCGGGAATCATCGAACTCACGAAACTGAATGCCCTCCGGCCACGAATCGCAGGAAAGGGCAACATCCCGTTTGTTTTGGTTGACGCCGACTTTGAAGGAAACGTAGTTTAACGTTGACGGATCTTTTCCTCTGGGAACCAACTTGGCAACCCGAGGTTTCTCGTCTGTTTCCAGACACAAACACTTAGAGACAAGAAATGAAATTTCATCGTTCGTAGTAGTGGGATGAAACGCCGATAAGTAAACCCACACCAGATCATCGTTCAGGTCCACGGTTCTGACCGAGTCGATAGGTGCTTTCTTACCACACAGTATGGGCTTGTCATCAGTGCTAAATGAAGTACGGCGACGTTTCGGGGTGCCACGACCGGAATCAAAGCGGTCATTTTTAGGCCAACGTGGAGTTGAGCTGACTGGGATCTTCGATTCCACTTTGGCTGCAAGAGCAATAACAGCCGAATTCAATTTCTCGATGTCCTCTTTCATCGAATCAACCGCGTTTGGAGCCACAGAAGTCTGATTGACGTCACGGCTCACGATATTACGGAAGTGGCCGTTTGAAAAAAGCGCCGCACAGTGATCGCACATCCAGAAGACATTCTTCTCGTACAATCCAAGTTGATCGAGAAGTTCGAGATCAACTTTGGCACAAATCATGTGAAATGTGTCACCACAAAAACCGCGACAAACAATACGTTCGGAGTCCGAAATGGTTTTTTGGCACTTCTTGCAAAAAATGCGACGCAAACTTTATACACGCAACAAAGACTACCACGTAACGAAAAACTATAGCAAATTTCCGATGCGCGAAACGAGGCAATCAGACGTAGAAACACTATTCAATACACAAAAGTACGGTAGCAGAGTGTAATGCAACAAGAGATACTGACGATTTGGTACGCTAAGTACGGTAGCAGTAGTGCAGCGACAGATACAAAACAAAAAATGTAAATAAAATGAAGATTGACACCACTGTTCCACGGGACGACACTTTTAATCTACAATTTCTCAACTTATCCACAAAGCTACACGAAATCCTACACTTCACAGAGGTACACCAAACGAACTCACACTCTATAACACAAAACACTACTAAAACAGTTCAAATTTACACGGGTAAAACGACGATTTTTCACCAGCGGGTTTACGTTTTCAACTATTTCAGTGAAGCTCTATATTTACAAGAGAGACAAGGTATGAAAAGTATGATATTATGCACAAGTTCAGATGCAGATAGCCTTACTTGATGCCGAGTATGGTTATTTCTATGTGTGGACTAAAACTGAGGAACTACTCATCACTGTTAATCGCGATTTAAATTATTTGCAAGACCTGAAACTGAAAGCTACTACGTTTTTCAAGGCTATGCTTTTACCGGAGTTTATAGGAAAGTTTTACAGCAAGGAACAGGAACGTGCAGAGCAACTGAAAAGCTTGAGAAAGTATCGGCATTATAAACAGTAAAATGATTCGGCATTCGAAATAAAAAACAATTCATCAATGTTTCATTTTTTGTTTCTTTTATTTGATTTAATTAACAATAGGCTTACAAAGATTAACGAGAATTGCTGCGACATATACAATCATGTCCAGTGTCATCTCATTGTTGTGTTTCCTTGCCATCAGGGTCATTGGAACGCTCTTCTTAAGAATATGATATTTCTCTCGCATTTGGCCGATTGCACGTTCAACATGGATTCGAACTGTCGCAATGTTCCTGGTATTTTCAACATCAATGGCAGACAGTTGCCTTCCGTTCTTTCTGAAAGCTGGCATGTTCAATGAGACGTTTTTCTCCCTTAGTGCGTCTTCAATCAGAAAACCACGGTCCACCATAACGGTGTCTCCCTCTGTTAACATTTCTAGAAACCCACAAGAAGCTGCAATGGTTTTATCAGATGCACGTCCTTCATAACCCTTCGAAACAAATATAACGAAACCAGCCGCACTGATTCCTAAAAATATTTGAGCGTATTTGATTTCTTATACTCCGACCACTGTTGAGCAGCAGCAATAGGATTTGAGGGCCTTTCCCCTTTTATTTCAAACCAGTCAATTATAACAGTGGTACTGTTTCCAAAGACATCTTTGAAGCATTGAGGAGTATGCCTCATTAGTACTTCCCTAGGGGGCCAATAAACTACATTGTGAAACACGTTGTAGATTGTGTAAATGGTCGAAAAGAAGTATTTCGAGACTGTGGCAGGACACATCTCATACGAAATGCTAAGGCATTTGTAAAAATAGTTGAATCTCAACATTTGGAGAGTCATAAGGAATACCTGCTCTTTCGTCAGATTCAGTGGTGAAAGCATGTGTGAATAAATTTGGTTGAAAATCATAATCACCACACGTTAATCTTCCAACCCGGTGTAAAATTTACAATCCGTTGGGCGCTCTTTCAACGTTTGTAAGTCGACCTTTGTTCTCCGTGGATGTTTCTTTAATTCCTCTATCTCTGCATTTTGCTCTTGTGCAGCGCGTTTCAGCTCCTTTAACTCGGCAGCGTGTGTCACTGTACTACTCTCAAGCGCATCATCATTGGATGGAATTTGTTCCGTTTGTGTGTAGTTACTCCTAACGAGAGGAGTAGCTTGTACGGATACTGCACTACTTCTGATTGGACGAGCTGCAGTCTGAGGCTTTGAAAAATACTCACGCACTGTTGGTGGATTATTTTCTAAAATAAGAAATGCCGATTTAGTAGTTTTTTTTTCAAGGGCAATTATTTTATAGATACCTTTCAAGAGTTCGTCGGGTTCTAGGTGAACATTGACCGCAAGAAAGTTTTCCGGTGATATGTGTTCACCTTTCATGCGTCCGTCCGTTTCTTCTTCTTTTTGCTCTTCCGTAGTAATTTGGAATAATACAAACAGAAATCCGACTTCTGATCCCACAGTTGTATTTCCTTCACAGTTTGATGCATCCGAAGCTGGACAGAAGAACTCATCGATAGCACTTTTGTGAACGGTGCTGCTTGCTGGTGAGGTTAACTTGTAGCATGGTTCCGGATTACTTGTCTCCTTGCTTAGTTCCGGGTATGCTGATGGTAGCATGAGCGTTGGCACCCAATCAATGTCTGTATCGTTAGTCAACACTGCTGGCTTCCCTAGGAGGTGAATTTAAGAGATTTTTTTTCAATTGTTTCAAAATATTTTACTTTTAAACTCACCTGAAACAAAATGTTTCGAACACATTCTGCCAGATTTATCTCGGAGCGAAGGAATTGTCTCTTCCTATTTTGTCAATCGCAATCTCGCTAAATTTTGCAGGCATTCGACTTTGAGACGATGCGGTTCCGGACGGCGATAGAAACTCACTGTTTTTTCTTTGCCCTGGACATATTTTGAAGAGCATTTCGGCACAATACACCAAAATTTCACTGTCGACATTTTTACGCCCAAAATAATTATGTTTGACACAAAAAATCTTCAACCGACCAGCAAGCGAAAAACCAAAACAAAAGGTAACCGCTTCCTGTCAATTAACGTAAACATAGGGCAACAGCTGATCCGAAACGTCTCATAAAATGGTCTATTGGAATGCGGCAAAGCGGCAGCGGTGCCGTTGTCATTGTGTTCAGCCCTTAACACCTGTTTTACAGCAATTTAAACGTCAACGGCTAGGAGTTACCAAACCACACGGCGCATATTGCCTCACCCTAAACTCAGAACTTGATACATTCAAAGCGCAAATTTGTGATCGACTTGTATGCATACAAGCATACTGAGCTGAAGGACAAGGAGTCCGTTACTCTACGATCAGCTCAGCTTCAATACCACCCCGAATTCTCTTCTTCACCGAAGGGTGTTCGATCCTCCGATGAGGTCAAGAAACTACATGCAGCACGAGCCTACAAGCAGATGTATGAACGAATTCAACACACTACAAGACACACATTTCTACAAATATGACGACAGAAGTAAACTTAGGTTATTTTTAAGAAACCAGCTTAATTTGAAATATGTGAAACATGTACTTTGTGTTTATTTTTTAAGTAGAGTAACGGGCTTATAGCCTATAGTCCAAGTACAAATACCGAAGAGTTACGTTCAATCATCGAACAGAACGACTAAACGATTCTTGAAGCAGGAAAATTGAATTCTATGATATATTTAGCCATTTTTAGGGTGTGCAGCAATAAGATACAAAACGTGAAATAATAGAATTTCAAATAAAATTATGCGTGCAACAATTGGGCTCTGAGACACAATCAAAAGATTTATTATACGGAAAATGCTAACGAATATATAGTGCCCTTAAGCTCTGGAAATGCTTGTTCAAACGCATTTAAAGGCTTCTTGAATAATTGCTACTTCAAAATCGTTTTCATCCACGTAAATACGCAAAATAACAAAAATGCGTGCTTAACTGTGCAACAATTGGCAATTTACCCTAGTTTTCGCTTTCATTGGAATCAATATTATCATCTACTGCAATTAATAACACGTGGTTCCTTTTGATGGTAGACGAGTTTTCCAATAATTAAACAGAAATGTATAAATTTATCAATTACTTACATTACCCAGTTAAGCTATAAAATGTCTTTAATCACTTTTAACTATGAAGGCATTTTTATAGTTCCACTATAACTGGCTCGCCCCACTTTGCCAAGGATAGGAATGATAACAGTGCTACTTTCGGTTGCATGATCAAATTTCCAATCCTGAAATAAATTTCCAGCAGATCATAAATCAACAGATGGTGTTTGATTTCCAGACTTACGTTGAACGCAAAAAAGAAATGAAATTTCTTCAATTCATACCAAATGGAAATCCAATTTAAAAAATATATAAACAATATTTCGTTGCTGGTAGTGTTGCTCGGTAGTGAGCGAAAGAAAAATGTAAATCAGTTTGGAAAATCATACCCCAGAATCAGTTTCGAGTGTATTTGAGCGTCCAAGACGAAGGAACGTATTAGGTACCTATCTAAACGTTTGGCAGTCAGCAGAAGGCTTTTGATGGAGGTGACGCGTACGCTTAAAGTTGTTCTATTTGAAGACGGTTTTCTTCTACTTAGGGTGCCGTACTTTTTGGCCTATTGGGTCTTATTTGTTTTTGAGAATCTTCCATTTTCGTTTTGGTGGCAAATGTGAATCGGTTTTCAAAGATAAAAATAATGCACCTCCCTACACTGCCGAGGGAGCCCATTTCAAACAGTTTCATGGCCAGGAGGACCGGGAATAATCGTTTGAAATGCTAATTGAGAATCAGTCTCAATCAGGTAAATAGTCGTCTGCGGAGATTGTTTTTCATGCCCGCAACGTGGTTTTCTTGACTTTTCTCGGTTTGCTGTAGCTTGTTTTCAACGCGCTTTGGGTTTGAGATCAAACGGATTTATTCGGATTGGAAGTCAGAAGGGTGAAATTGTTCCTAAATAGATAAAACGTCTTGAGCAGACGGTGAAAGGAAGCAGTGGAGATAAAAATATAAAATGAAAAGGTAATGTTTAACCTCTACTATGATTTTTCTTGAAAATAGCATTTATGCATGGTGGAGTGGATTAGTGCATAAATAATTCGTTTGAACTCAAAAAGTAAAATTATAAGAAAAATATAACTCACAATTGGCTGGTGAATCACGTGCGTCCATGCAGAAAATGTATAATTTCATTGTCGGATTTTTTGCCTCTTCTCATCTTACACTACCTACATT